CATTCCGTGGTCTCTTTTTAATTAAGCTGCTCCGTAAATATATATATATATGCATGTATTGACTCTTAAGATTTTCTCTGAAAATATGATTTAAACCTAATTTCCAGCTAGTCAGCTCATCCTAAGTGCCCTTCACCGGTGGTGTCTGGAGTTGTTTTGTAAGAAATACTAAGAGAATAACACGGAAAACTACAGAATCTTCTATCCAACCACTCGATCATTCCACGATAGCCATATTGAAAGTAATAACGTCCCTCGATTCGCGATAGCTTAACATAGCATTGCTGCTGCCCTACTTACAGAAGCCTTCCAGATCTCATAAGCCATCTGTTGACTTAAGACCAAGCCTATGGTTTTATTGTGTGTCCCTATCTACCCGTCGCGATGTATATGTAGCTCCGTCTTCCAAAAAGACTACACAACGCCGGCAGGTTGACTGCCAGTAGAATGGCCTCAGGGGGCTGGGTGATACAGACAGCCAGTACATAGACGAACCTCAATCATTTGACAATCCTGGTAGAAAAGTTTCCAGTCATAAGCATTTATTCCGACTGGAATGTGCTCGTACCCTCGTGTTCCTTCGCTGACGCGGCGCTAACATTGGGAACGACATCGTCGGCAAAAAGGCAAGTGGAAATGACCGTTGCCGTACGTGGTCGCTCACCAGAATGCGGGGAGTGTGTATTCATTAGAACCTGTAACACCTGTTCATGGTACATTGTATAATTACAGAATGAAATTGTACCTGCTCTTTCGACGTCGCACACGAAACTCCATGAGCCGACCGGCGGGCCACCCCCCAAACATGAGGCTCGGGTTTCACATCATTTTAATCTCTCGCCGTGGACAGCAGCATTGTCATACCGTTGAGGCTCTGGTTTTCACAGCATTTTAATCTCTCGTCGCGGGCCTGAGACTGAATCGGAGCGGAGGAAAGCCTGGCTTACTACAAGGGTGTATGGAGGATAATACAGGCACGGTTGCAGGGCATGTTTACCGAGGTGATTAGAGGCGTTTGTTGGTATACAACGTTCATTGTCATAGCCGAGCAAAGGATTTGAAGGCTTCTTGGTCAAGTGCAATGATTCATATTTAATACTCGTTTTCACAATCTCTGAATTTCAGCCACATTGGTAAATACATTGGTGGTAAACGGTTATCATAATAGCTACCTAATACAGCTGTCCTGAAGTATCAAAACTCAAAATTCATGATCCTTCCTCCGTAGTACTCCGTTTCATTATTTATAAACCGTAAAAACCGTTTTCCACCAAAAAAATCGAGTTTGCCTCTCGTCGCACGAGGGACAGGTCTTACTCGATGTCGACCTTGTGGATCTCAGTCCACTCCTTCTCGAGCTTGGGGACGGTGACGATGAGCACGCCGTCCTCCATCTTGGCCGTGATCGACAGCGCGTCAATCTCCTCCCTCTCAGCGCCCGCAGGCGGCAGCGGGACGGAGCGCGCGAACATGCCGACGCGGCGCTCGCTCGAGGCCATGGTGGCGAGGAAGTCCTCGTCGCCGGGGCGGTAGACGACGCCCGCGACGCGGAGCTCGCCCTTGTCGGCGTCCCAGTCGACGCCGATGTCCTCCTTCTTGGCTCCGGGCAGGGCGAAGTGCAGGACGTACGACCGCTCAGTGGCGAAGATGTCGACGGGGGGAGTGAAGGAGGAGTCGTCGTTGGGGCCGGCGGAGCCACCGAAATCGGGACCGCCGCGGGGGCCGTCGGGGGTATTGAGGCCGCCAAAGCGGGAGGCCCAGTCACGGATCTGCTGGGCGAAGGGGTGACCGGCGAATTGGTTCAGGAAGCCGGTGAAGTCGAAGCCCGGGGGAGGAGGAGGGGGCGGGTGGCCGTAGGGCGGGGGAGGAGGCGGGCCGGCGCCGAAGGGGGGAGGTGGAGGCGGGGGAGGGTGGGCACCGCGGGGACCGTGGGGGCCGTGATGGTGTCTGCTGTGGCGCCAATGGTCACCGTCACCGCCGCGGCCGCCGAAGCGTCCGCGACCTCCGCGTCGGCCGGGACCGTGGTGGTGGCCGTGCTCGTGCTCGGGACCGCCCTCGTCGGGGCTGTCTCTCATGTTCTCGGGGGAGTCGTCCTTCTCCTTGTCGGAGATCTCTGCGTCGTCGATGTCGCGCATGATGTCCTCGTGAGTCTCGTCGCCCTCATCACCGTGGCGGGGTCCGTGGCGTCCATGGCGGCCTCTGCTACCGCATCGCCCACCGCCGCGGCGGTGGCCTGGTCCTCCTCGTCGGTCGCCCCAGCCACCGTAGGCACCCCATCCGCCGGGACCGCCGAAGCTGAACTCGGCGCCGTGGAAGGGGAAGCCAGGACCGCCCCAGGGGCCGGCGTGGTCGACGCCAGCTCCGGCGCGGGCGTTGGGATCAGAGTTGACCCAGCTCCAGAACTGCTGGGGACCGCCGGGTCGGGGAAAAGGGTTGTTGTTGCCGTTTGGGCCTGCCCAAGACATGATTGCTGTTGCTTGGTGATATCGGGTTGGATGTGTGTGTATGTGTGTAAGTGAAGGGTTGTTGTTGGAGATGGTGATGGTAGTGTATCGTAAAGCTATTGAAGCTGCGGATGGAGACAAGAGAAACCAACACTTGGACGGAGACAGGAGTCGTCTTATATATCACGTTGGGCGAACTGCTGTGAGGCAGAAGCATGCGTATACCACCATCTGATATCGGGCATGAGTGAAGGCAAAAGCACTTGCGACGCCGATTTGCACCAGTCAGACGTACGTACACTACACCAGTAGTCACCCTGTCGAACAGATCAGAAAGGTTTCGAATGATGGACATGGGAAGCACGATGTCGCCACGCGTCCCGGGGAGGGGGGGCATCAGCTCATTGGACGGAGGCGGAGGGCGGGAGACATGCTCACCGAGCCCCGACGCCTCAGTTGTATTGGACAAGTCCACAAGTCCACCGTGGCGTCGGAGACCGAGTTGAGACGGCGCCGCAATGACTCTAGGGGTTATCCCAGGCGTCGAAGCCGCGTTTGTTGGTGTTTGCCTGGTGTCATTGTTTATTTCGTCAGGGAATTACGCAGTCCGCAGCAAGGTGAGGGGCGTGACCGAGCGAGAGCGAGATGGGATGAGGGAGCCCAGAGTTCGGGGCCGAAAGTAACAAGGCACCGCTGTGGGGGGAGTGTGGCTTGCTCGGTCCCGTTGTGCGGTACCGCTGCGCAGCTGAAAGGTTGCGAGTGCCACAAGTGTTTGGGTTGTGGCTCGCCACCGACACGGGCAGGGACGCGCACGCCAACTGAGGCCTCAATGCATGGATGGTCTAGGCTGTTCGTGGACGAGACGTAAGGCTTGAAGTGTGAGTCAAATGCCCCTGGAAATGTGTCGCTCTCGGAATAAGTTGCCGGGGCATCGTTGTATCAGAGTCCGAGTCCTTGTTGTGTTTGCCGAGGAGTCGAGATGGGATTCATATGAATATCAATGACAGTGACCAACAACTCCGACGTCGACCAGTGACATTCCATCTCGTCGGGGTCCACGACGCTCGAAGCTTGGACCAGAGCCGGCTTAGGTAATTCACCGACGGAGCTTGGACCACTTCTCGGCCAGTCCCGCGGTGGGCGTCGGGACTCGAGAGGCCTTTGAGCCTGTGTCTGTGCCGCGGGTCCTCTTCGGGCTTTTCTCGTTTTCTTCTCCCATTATTATTCCATGCAATAGGTATTTCCCATATTGGCTCTCATTTATCCGCCTGCATTCAGGCTATCATTTCAGGATATCGTTCCTGCATGTTTTCCCAGATTTCCTTCGCATGTTGTACGCAGATTGTCGGCGCTTCCACTCATCAAGTGATGTTTTACGCTCTCCATGGATGCAGACTGACTGCCCAGTCGCTTCCCCCTTTCTTGGCGCATCGTCGACTCACCGGATACCAGATGCCGCATCCACCTTGTCAACAACAAATCACTCTCTCATCTCGCCGTGTGCGCATTACGAAGTCGAGTGGCTCCGCTCCGCTGTGCTGCTCTAGACTCTGTTGAGAGGGCTGGAGGCTCAAGCCAAGCAATTCGCTTTCATGGGCAGGCGCTTGCAACTCTCAAGTGAAGATGCCCATTTGCTGCTTCCCACTTTCTAAGCGCCCAGCACCTACAGCCAATCACCAAGCTTCGTTAGGCAAGATGCCACCATGCAGGGCTCCATAGTAATGGGTGCTTCAGGTTCTTTGGCTCACTGATGCCGCCCGCTTGGAGGTGACTGAGGGGAGACGAGCCACTTGTGCTCTCCTCTTGAGGCAGCTGTCTCCAACGGCCAACGGCCAATACGGCTCATTCCCTGCAAATGCGGCATGCCATGCCATGCCAGCCCGGCCAGGCCTCCCCTCCCGTTCTGGCGCCGGGAAGCGTGTGGTGCATGTGTCCAGGTGTGTGTGTGTGTGTGAACTGTGAGGTGTAAAGCATGAGATGAGAGGTTTCCCCTCCTCTCGCTCGCCCTCGCTGCTGCCGCTGGAGCAGGAAAGAACCCCCCAGATCCCCGTTCCATCCCATCCCATGCCGCTTGACTTGCACTCTGCCCAATGCTTCCCGCCAGACCCAAACCCTACCTACCTAACCTAGACGCCTGTCGTCCTATCTGTCAAGTTTTGTTCTTTTCAAGGTCGAACTCCCCCCTTTCCCTTTCGCTCTGAAATCGACAAATCTTCAGCCTTATTTCAATATTTTTTTGGTGCCGCATCGCATCTGTTTCGTCCATCCATCGGGGCCTGACGGAGCGGCCGGCCATTTCTGCGACCTCCCCCCGTGAGACTTGAACCCCACCAACCCCCCATCTGCTGCTGCGATCCTCTCGAGCTACAGTAGCCAACGGCAGACACAACAAACCACCAGCTTCGACAGCTCCTATAAATAACTTTTTCCCCCTGACCTGCAGACCTGAGCTTTCGCCGTGCGTCATTCGCATACTCAGACTGCACCAAGCCTGTCGCGTACCTGCGCAAGTCGATTCGAGATACCTACCGGTCCATCTAGATACGACCCATCGCCATGGAGCGCAGTCGCGGCGTCCCTGACGCCGAGCTGTTTCTAAGCAAACCCTCCGAGGAAGACTGCGACAGCCCGACCGTCGAGCCTCTGAGAATATTCAAGCCTCAGAGCCCCAAGCCGTCCTCTTCCGACCGCTTCAAGTACCCCGCCCCTCCGTCCGCCTCGGGCACCCCGTCCTCCTTCACCTCCAAGCCGACCTTTCCTCTGCCTCCCGGCGCCTCGAGCTCCGCCGCGCCTCTTCCGTATCCCGACGAAGAAGACCTCCGTCCTGGAAAACCGAGCAAGCCTACCATCACTGCCCCGAAGCGTTTTGGCTCCGACTACAATGATACTACCCCGCGCTTGAATGCCACCAGCCCTGTTGAGACCAAGAGCCCGACCCTCGCAGAGCGACGCGGCGCTGGTCCGCGGCCTCTGGGAGCTACTTCTCCAACAAGTCCTGGCGAGGAGGGTAACTTCTTTGCGAAGCCCTTGAACGCTCCTCAGCCCCAGCGCCCGGCCGCTTCTACGACGAACTACCCCTCTTACACCAAGAAGCCGTACTATCCTCCTCCCGTGGGCGCATCAAGCTCAACACCTCCTGCTCAGAGCTACGCTCCAAGGCCGCCTTCTCAGCCTCAGTCTCAGAGCTCTGAGCATCTCGACATGCCTGGCCAGAGCAACGTGAACAGGTTCGCTTCCACTGCCTCCACCTCTACCACACGCGCCAGCAGAGGTTCTCCACCCCCTCCCGAGACCCCGATCGTTGAGCCGGGAGTGATCCCTGGCGGTGGCATCGAGGCTCGATATGCTGCTTCTGGTATTTCGGGCACGGCAACTTTGACCGGCCTTCAGGCGCAACAAGTCCAAAACTCTGCTGCTTCTCAGAGATTGGCGCAATATGGCGGGGCACCACCGCCCGCGCGACCATGGACACCTACTGAGAACCCAGAGAACCAGCCTCATGGACCTCCCACAGTGTACCAGGGTATGAACCAAGTGGCGAGCCCTACTCAACCCACGTTCAGTCCTCCTCCTCAACAAGCGGTAAACGAGGGAGACCAGCCTGCCCTGCAGGTGAGCGTCTTGGAGCAAGACTTCGCACGCATGAATGCGAACGACCCTCCCCCAGCTTACTCGAGTGTCAACCCCGGAGGCAACTCGTCCTACCCCGCCGAGAAGCAGCGTCCGGCTCGGCAACGAGCAGACTCGCAGCCGTCTGTAGCCACATCTGTCGCACAATCTCCCCCAAAGAAGCCCGCAACGGCTGGTCCCGCGGCTGCAGGGCTTGCGTCGCCCGCTCTTCAAGGACATCCGGCTTTCGCCAATGATCCCCGACCAGAGCAGCAGAATGGATCTCCAGGACCGGCCCAACAGCCGCAAGCACAAGCACAAGCACAACCTGCGGCCACTCCGGTTGCGCAAACTGCACAAGTTCCTGCCAACTTTCAAAACGCTGGACCATCCTCACCCCCTCCGTTGCCCGAGGGCTGGATCGCTCATCTTGATCAAAACTCTGGTCAATACTACTACATTCATCTTGCCTCCCAGGCTACCCAGTGGGAGTTTCCCAAGGGGCCCAACCCGATCCAACATGAACAGGCGCCTCTGTCGCCTACGGCCTCGACATACGGCAATCCCCTCGCATCCCCCATGTTTGGCAAGCAGAGCATGGCGTCCCCAATGTTCCCTCCTCATACCCCTGGCTATGCTGAGAGCATCATGAGTGTCGCCGTATCGCAGACTCCCACTACCGCCGGCTTTTCTGGGCCTCCTCCCAGTGCCGGTGTTGACATGTACAAGATTCAGCCAACGAACGGCGTCTACTTTGGGCCGTATCTGCGCTACTGCAATATGGACATGGAGAAGGGGACGTGGTTGGGCAGTATCATGATCGTGACTGAAGCACCGCAGCCTCCTACGATCCATCTTCACTTGAGCGCCGACCTCTCTCCTAATCCGCGACAGTTGGTGCCGCACAATATCTACACTCATCAGCGCTGGTCGTTTTACAAGTACGATATTGAGTTGCCCATGAGCGAGAATAGCACCGAGAGATGGACTTATGCCGTGACGTCCCACCTAGGATGCACAAGATATGAGTTTGTCGTTGCCGGTCGTCACGAGAACGGCTGGCGCTTCATTGCACACTCCAACAACGACTTTGCTGCATCGACGTCTCAGAATGAGCGCTCTAAGCTAGGTGGTGTAGGCTTCATGTGGAAGGATGTGCTGCAAAAGAACGTGGATTGCGGAGGTTTCCACGTTCAGCTCGGCTTGGGTGACCAGATTTACGGTGACAGGTTATGGAAGGAGGTGCCTCTTCTGAAGCAGTGGCTGGCCATGAGCGGCAGAGATAACAGGAAAAACGCACAGTGGACTGCCCGCCATGAGGAGGACGTTTCGCATGCGTACTTCCACTACTACACCAGTCACTTTGACCAGCCGTACCTGAGAGAGGCCTTTGCTCAGATCCCTCACATTTTGCAGGTTGACGACCATGACATGTAAGTTTGTCGGTTCCAATTGTCTAGTTCGAAACTGACCTGCGCAGCTTTGACGGCTTCGGTTCGTACCCCGAGTACATGCAGGGCTCGCAGATGTTCAAGAACGTCGGCCGCATAGCCATCGAGATGTACCTACTTTTCCAGCACCACACGACCGTGGAGATTCTCCGCAACGTCAGCAATGACACGGACTTGTTCACAATCACCGGCCAGGGCTGGCACTTTGTGAAGTATCTTGGACCTGCTGTCGTTGTCGTTGGACCTGACTGCCGATCTGAGAGAAACCAGACCCGGGTCATGGCCGGCCCGACCTACCAAGGGCTTTTCCCCAAGGTCGCAACGCTACCTCCCAGCGTGCAGCACTGCATCTGGATGGTGTCAGTTCCTCTAGTCTACCCTCGTCTTGAGGCAGTTGAGAGCTTGGCCACTGCAGTTACTACTGGCAAGAAGGCGGTCAACATGTCATACAACTTGCTCGGCAAGGTCACCAGTTCAGTGGCCGGTGTTGTTGGTGGAAAGGAGGTCGTGGCACAGGGCTTCACGCAGGTAAAGAAGGCCGTCGGAAAGTCTGGTCTCATGGGCAATGTCCTCAACCAATTCGGAGAGATTGATCTCGCGGAGGTGTTGAAGGACATGTGGACTCACGAGTCGAAGGATCTGGAGAGGACGTACCTCATCAGGACCCTCCAGGGCATCGCACAACAGAAGGGAATTCGCATGACATTTATGTCAGGAGGTAAGCTAAATCCCTGCCTCACTCGTCAGCCAAAGCTAACTCCAATTCAGACGTCAACTGTGCGGGTGCAGGCTTGGTCCATGATCCCACTCATCCCAGCGACCACAAGACGATGTACCAAATCATCACGTCGCCCATTGTCGCCCAACCCGCCAGCAACTACATCTTGAAATTGCTCCACAACAACAAGAGCCTCTACGTCCCTCAGAACGGCCACAAGTCCAACCATGAGGTGTCAGACACCAAGGAGGACATGATGGAGATCTTCCACACCGACGCCAGCGGCTCAGCGCGCGAGCTCAAGAAGCTTATGGGCCGCAGAAACTACGTCGCCGTGGTCGCTTACGATCCGGAGGCCATCCCGGGTACTCAGTACGCAGCCAACCAGGCCAACGGCCAAGGCCTGACGAAGCTGAGCTTGGCCGTGGATTTCGTTGTGCAGGGCGACGGCGCTTTCACAGCGCCGACGAAGTATGGCCCGGTCATTGTGCCCCACCTAGGATAGAAGAGCGTGGATGTCGGAGGCTATTTTCTTGAATATTTTAATATTTTCACACCTTTCCAGGCGACTTCCAGAAACGATAAGGCATAAAGCGAGTGCTTGACGACCTGATGATATAAGCCTACATTTACTATCCATATTCCCAATTTACAAAATCTGAACTTCAAATCATCTGCTGCCCGGTGTGAAATTGATTCATGGTTGGGAAATTATCTACATCAAATTTCCTATGTTCATATGAACCGTCGCACACATGAGCCTGATTCTAGAGTCCTCAGACCAACAGCATCCAGATCGGACCTGTCTCAATACAGAGTCCGTATACGCAGGGGATCCACCTCCTCGCCGCAGTACCTGACCTAGCGCCTTGCAACACCGCACGGGCGTCAGTCATCCTTCCTCCCCTGCAGTAAAGCGGCCGCCAAAAGTTGTCACCCGCTTGTCTGGCATGAGCACCTCACCTACCCAGCTTCAGGACACGATGTCTGAATCTCAAGCTCTTTTGCGCCCTTGTGAACACGTTCCTGGCTTTGGTTTCTTATTAGTCTTCCGTGTTGGGTAAACCCGAACAGAGACCATCGTCATCGCCAATCGCAAGCACTTGCACTGCCACCCCATCTTGCGTACATCAAGTTTCAAAACAATGTCCAGCTTGGGTCCAGTCAAGAACACTCATCTCGTTTCGATGCCAATCCCTCACTTATGGCCAAGCTGTCCAGAACACAATCTCAAAGACAAGGACAGATCACCCCGAGGCTAATAAATGACTGAGATCTGTCAACTTGAGAACATGTTCACCATGCGATTGCTTACCAATGGTGCAAGCACATCATCAAATACCATGTTCAGCTTTGAAAGAGTCTCTGTGAACAAGATTTATTTAAACGTCCCTCCAAACCCAATTCACCACCCGGAAGATTTCTTGGTTCCCTGAGCTCAAAGCACCAATCACCTCTAAGTACCTACCCACCATCCAAGGAAGACCACTCCAGACCCTGAAAACGCACCCACCACAGCACTGCACCTGCCTGTGACCTTACCCCTGCCCCGCCATCTGAAAGTCGACCCCGCGCATACCCATCCACATCCCGAAAGGAAGCTCCAATCTCAACCCCTTTGCTTCTGACCGCCCTATGCAATTGTCTCTGCTGGCATAAGTAGATCCTTCCCAGACTTCTGCGACGTCACAAACGGCAAGCTCGAGCTTCACAACACATTTCACCACCCATCACCCACCGTCACAATGGCTACCTACCCCCCTCTCGAGGAGCGTCCCCTCAAGACGACCATCTGCCTCTTCGACGTCGACGAGACCCTCACTCCCGCCCGTCGCGTAAGCTCTGCCTTTCCCCCTTTCCGCCTCCAAACCCTCTAACCCTGGCCTCCAAACCAGCATGCCACCCCCGAGATGCTCGACCTCCTCGCCCGCCTCCGCCAAAAGTGCGCCATTGGCTACGTCGGCGGCTCCGACTTCAACAAGCAGCAGGAGCAGCTCGGCGACGCCCAGACCCCGGTCACCACCCTCTTCGACTTCTGCTTCTCCGAGAACGGCCTGACTGCCTTCAAGCTCGGCCAGCCGCTGCCCTCCAACAGCTTCATCAAGTACATTGGCGAGGACAACTACAAGGAGCTCGTCCGCTTCGCCCTCCACCACATCGCCGACCTCGACATCCCCGTCAAGCGCGGCACCTTCATCGAGTTCCGCAACGGCATGGTCAACATCTCCCCCGTCGGCCGTAACGCCTCCAACGACGAGCGCAAGGCCTTCGAGGACTACGACAAGATCCACAACGTCCGCCGCGACTTCGTCGCCAAGCTGCGCGAGAAGTTTGGCCACCTCGGCCTCACCTTCTCCATTGGCGGCATGATCTCCTTCGACGTCTTCCCCACCGGTTGGGACAAGACGTACTGCCTGCGCCACCTCGAGAGCGAGGCCAAGAAGGAGGGCGGCATCACCTACGACACGATCCACTTCTTTGGCGACAAGACGCACGAGGGCGGCAACGACTACGAGATCTACACCGACAACCGCACCATCGGACACGCCGTCAGCGGCCCCGAGGAGACCATGCGCATTGTCAAGGAGCTCTTCGACTTGTGAAGCGTGCGAGAGGACAGCAGGCTGTGACGGAGATACTGGTACTGAATGGGGGGTGGGTGGTTTCCAACCAAAAAGGAGAGATGATACCAAGACCAGATGGTTTTGCGGATGCGCAATTGCCTTGACGGGGAGATAGACAGAGATCCCTTACGAACTGAATTTAGAGCAAATAAAAACAATCAAGTGCTGAAGATATGGGCAACGCCCGAAAATGCGAATACGGTGGAACTCTACCGGCCCAAGTCGAGCCCGATTCTCGGTGGGTGAAGTATGTTTCTCTGGGCTCCCGACTCGCTCACTTGTTAAGGGGCTAGAATGCTCAAAGTCTTAATCGCTCCGAATTGTAACTTGCTAACATTAAAAACTCTAGCCCATGGATATCATAATTGCCAGTCCCCTACTCCGAGCATAACCCTTTTTTTGGTCCCTGTAAGCCACTCTATCGTTTATGTCGTCCATTCCGGAATCATTTCATTACATAGCAATACAGAAAATTGAGCCTTGCATCACCCCAGGAGGACACTTCAGTGCCGCTGGCTCTTCGGCAGAGGGTGGATCCACGAGACCAACAGGTTGACCCCGATGTGGATGCACCCAATGACCCAGAATCCCTTTGCGTAGTTGGTGCCATTGTCCATGAAGCGGAAGATGATGGCGAAGATGACGCCACCAAGGTTGCCGCCGGCGCCCGTGACACCGCTCACGATACCGTTCGCGTAGCCGTGGACATGCGGGATCAGGCCAAAGTTGGCGCCGTTGCCCGCCTCATGGAATACGGCCATCAGGAAGACGAGCCCGAACATGGTCGCCTCGTCGTGCGGGTTCAGCAGGCCGATGAGCAGCAGCAGCGCGCCGGTGAGCACGCCGCAGACGGTGATCCACGCCTTCTTGAGCCAGAGGTTCTGGCCGCCGTAGCGGTAGAGCAGGTCCGAGACGACGCCGCCGGCCGGGCGGGTGATCACGTTGAGGAAGCCGAACATGGCGGCCCAGTTGCTGGCGCCGGTCTGACCGAGCGCGGGGAAGTTCTTGAGGTAGTAGGAGGAGAGAACGGCGTTGACGGCCAGCTCGCCGCCGAAGGAGCAGCCGTAGGTGGCGATGTGGAAGATTGTCTGCGGGGAGAGGACGACGGACATGGCCTCCTTGAAGGTGGGGTTGACGACCGTGTCGCCGCGCGCGGTCTCGACCATCTCGTCGCGGGAGAGGCGCACCTCGTGGTCGCCGAGAACGCCGTGCTGCCCGTTCTTGTTGCTGCTGTGGTTGCTGCGCTTCTCCTCGTCGGAGACCATCGAGCCCGCCGCCGTTTCCTTGCGGTCTGCGATGCCGCCGGGGACGTCGACGACGTCAGGGCTCGCGTCGACGACACCGTGGGACTGCAGGTTCTCCTGGGCGTGGAGATGGCGGTCGGCCCACTTGCCGGTTGGGGTGTCCTCACACAGCAGGAGGAGGCCCAGGCCGCAGGCGAGGAGGCAGATGACGGGGACGATGAAGGTCAGGCGCCACGCCTGGCCGGGAGAGTAGCCCCGCGCGTGGACGAAGGAGTCGTAGACGGCCGGCATGACGAAGTACGTGATGCCGCCGCCGGCGTTGCCCCAGCCGCCGGCCAGGGCGTTGGCAGTGCCGACGACGTTTTTATCGAAGAACCCGGTGCACCAGACCTGGCAGGGGACGAAGGTCGCGCCGAGGACGCCGATGAAGAAGCGGCTGATGTAGAGGCCCGTGGCGTCCTTGACGAGGGGGGCGAGGCCGATGGGGATGCTGCCGATGAGCAGGAGGGAGCCGAAGACGATGCGGGAGCCGAAGCGGTCGCACGCGGGGCCGGCAATGAGGCGCATGAAGAGTGTTGCGACGAGAGAGACAATGTTTGAGTTGGCGACTTGGGCGGTGGTCAGGTTGAGGTCCTTCTTGATGGTGACTGTGAGGAGGGGCGGGAAGGTGTACCAGGCCCAGAACTGGACGCGGGCGTGTTAGCAGGCGGAAATCAAGCAGACGGTCGTGTGTATACTCACGGCAATCATGAAGCCAAGCCAAGAGAAGTGAAAGGCGCGCGCGTATACATTGAAGATGTTGAAGACCGGGATGCTGCGGGCTTTGCGGTTGATGGGGTTCACCTCAGGTGCCCTCCAGAGAATGGAAAGTTCCATGGTGAGAGGTTCGGTCGATCCGTCCGGAGTCGACGTGGTATGACGTGGGGTCTTGGGCAAAGTCCTTCTTTTTCGTGTAAGCGGGCTGGCTTTGAGCTGGAATCCAGGCGCTTGGTGCCTCAAGGTTACCCTGTCGTGGACTGTTATCGTGTTACTGTCGTTGAGTGCTTAAATACAGGTAAACAGATCATGTATTCGGCCGGAGATTGTCCTGGATTTATATGGGCGTCCTCATTTGTGTAGCATAGTGTTCAGCAGAGAGGAGGTGGTTGAAGCATCTCCGGAGAGACACCACGCTAATCCCAATGGACGTCTGCCGCGAACGCTCCCTTGCTCTCTGTGTCTGTGGAGGTGCAGGGGAAATGGGGGTGTGAAAAAGAGTGTGATGGAGGTGTGTCGATGGGACGGGAGGCGGGCCAAGCCTAAGAGCCAGGAGGGACCAGCGGCGTGGGAGCCTTAAGAGCGGGCTCACTCGTCGATCTCCCTGATAAGACTTTCTTGCCGGGAAGAGAGCGGAAATGTCGAATTCTTTGCTGTAATGTAGGTAGTCTGAGGCGTCAGGGTGGTTTCTCAAGCCAAAGTGCTGGGTTTGCGCGATACTTCGATCCGCTCAGTCGTGAAAATCGAAGTCGAGGCCCAAATAGCAGCACTCTTCAATACCAGGCTGTGTCGTAGAAAAATCTTGTCTCGGAACACAGCAAGCTGATGTCTTGATAAGACAAGAACGGGAAGTCAAGCTGAGGAACTGTCTATCGCGAGCCTGCGGGTAGATGAGCTATTCCCCAGGTTTTCCCCTCAACAGGATGACGCGCTGTCTACCCGAGGTAACAATGCCGTGGCCTATGCAGAGAACTTCGCAGCAAGTCTATGCATCAAGATAACGAAGGCCCGAATGAGAGAACCCACGGGCCAAGCAAGAGAGTCCGACACTAGGTTCACGCCTTGTCTTGACGGATACAGCCTTTGCCTGTCCGGGGTGGTCAGTAGAGTGCTTTCCAGGAGAAATGATTGGACGGAGCCCTCAAGGGACTGGGAGTAATTGAGCCAAACGGAATCTTACGAGCTTATTGCTTATCTCTGGAGGCTCTCGAGAGGCGCTCAAGATGCGGTCGGGACGGGTGAGCCAGGCCCCACCCCTGGCATCCAAGAGATAAGAAAGTGACTCTGATAGCTGACTGGCGAGTGCTTAAACCTTTGGTGTCGATCTCCGCGGACCTTTCGTCGTGGCATGTGTCTAGGGACAGATGGGAGTTGAGCCGAATGATGCTGCCATGATTACGATGACTGTCTGTAGGTAGGCCAAGTTGAAGTGAGTGAGAAAGAGAGGAACTTATCTAGTGGGGTTCTTGGCGACGATGATAAACTTTCAAGCACTGGCTTAGCCTCCCTACAATCTAGACCAATAGTTGGTCGGATTGTGACAAAGACAGACGCTGGTGCTTTAACGATTGGCAGCTTGACCAAAATACATCAGGCTTGGCAACAGACGCAACTGTCCTATCTTCTCATGAATATATCATACGCCTGGTGTAGTACGAAACGGAATCTCTCGTCATTCTCCATTGTCGCAGAAGATTGGCAAAGATTTCATGCTGATCCTGCATCAACTGCCGTGTACCCTCTCCCGGTCCGCCTTTGGTGTAATTGGACGGCCTGCGATTGGGCAATGCTGCGGTCCCTTTCAGCTTCCCCCTTTCTGGATGCTGTCATTCCCCAGAGAGGACCCCGAGCTAAGCTCGCAATGAGGTGGACGAAAATTGGGGTGACCGAGTCTTTGGCTGCAATTAGGGAGTCGGTCAAGATAAGACACAGATAGCGGAGCCAAGGAGACCCCTGGCCGCAGAGAACACCCACTGTTCGCAAGAAAGTCTGCCCATGGCTTATGTCATCACTCTGCCCCCACGCTAATGACCCGCTTGTCTGGTCCAGGTGTTTCCCCATCCCGTCGCCGCGTGCATCCCCGGCCTCCCGGACCCGTGCCGTGACGGGGTCTAGACTTTCTCTGCCATCCGACCACATCTCCCGTCCCAAGCTGTGTTGTCTTCAAATTAACAGCAGTTCAAAATCAAAGAAGATTCATCTAGATGGTCGTCATCGATACATCCATCATGCCCGTTATCAGTTGCAGGCTTTCAGATGGTCGTTTCCAACCTCCACCCTAACGCGGCGTTGCGGACCCTTTTCGCCATTTCGCACGTGTAAGTCAAGCTCCGCGGAGATGCTTCATCAGAGATAACGACAAGACAGCCGCAACCTTCAACAACAGATGATGGCCCAAGCGCCATCCGACTTATCTTCAACGTCCACGGCTATCAATTGGTATTTGAGATGAGAGCTGTTCACTAGGCTTTGGGTCGCTGAAGTAGCCTGAAAGTACTCGAACTAGTATTGTGAGTTGCTTTCCCGACGGGAATGAGCATTGTTTGTAGATCTGGGCCTTCATCACCAGAAAGGAAGCATTTGAGGCTTCCGATAAGGCCCTGAAAGAACTCTCTGGCTGCCCCTGGCCATGGATTGCACAAGTCTGCCAGGGTCTCTTTGCAGCGGCCCGCCCTTATCCTCTGATTGCGGATGAGTAGTGCACTCCAGAAGGGCCTACAGCGCTTCAGTCGACTTCGTTGCCTGCGTTTCTGGCATATCTTGGCATAGGGCCAAGAAACAGTGGCCTTGTCATAGCCGGATCAATAGGTCTGGGCAGCAGCGCCGACGCAAGAACGCATCATTCGATCGCGCAAACTCATCCAGAGAATACTCGCGCTACCAGCTATCATTCTTGCGGCCTGAAAAGTATCGAGACAGGTTCGGAGACTTGGCGTGGGCGAGACGCGCAAAATGTCGCCACAGCACGCATCTGAACCCGTACGATTACCATCGCGACCGAACAAGTGGATCGTATTTTGCATCTCCGGTTCTCCTGGAAGCTCGTATCTACGCCCAACGACAGGCTTCAGCGCCCAGCTGGGTCTCCAAGGTCAAAAGATATCGAAACTTCAACAGCAGCTTGATACCGCAGCTGATCGATAGCTTGAGCTCGTCTCGAATGATCTTTACTTCATTCAATATGCTCACGAGATCGACTGTATCGCGTGTTGCTGATTGAGGCAAATCACGAATGACACAGACACTGACACATTCGTTAGCCGAGTATTATGCCTGGTTATACAAGTCTTCGCTTGACATCACGGCCTGTCCGGCGATAAAAGGCGTTGTCGCTGGTAGTACGGCGTCGAAGGTACTTACTGACCGTGACCGCCTACGACGAACGCAACCCATGACTGCCCTTGTACTCGAGCACACAATTGTTTTCGTACTCGGTCTCGAGATTTGGCGGATATTCAAAAGCGACATTTTGCCCGGCACGACAAGATTTGCAAAGGCAAGATGGCGTAGAGCATGACTGTTGTTGCGTGAGTCTGCCTGGCACCAGGCATGCCACGTGCACACCTTTCAGAGCACGAAATATCACCCAAAGCCTGTGATTGTTCAATGTTAGGTGAGCTCAGACTTCTGTGGAGCATTGGCCTTACCCTGAGATGGCCGTTTCATTTAGGCTACAGAACATCGTAACAGTGTTTTGGTTCTACACATGACATAGTCTCATCAACAGTATCACTGAAATCACATCGTCAAAATGGTCTTACTACTACAAAACTCCGTGACGAGCCAGACCATGACGCAAACTCTCGTTAGTAGTTTCACGATGACGTCTCTGAGCATTTCGGGTCACGTTACAGCAAAAGCGTCAACCGCCTAGTTTCTCATGAGAGAGTAGGACCAACACAAGAAGGAGTATCGGCTGCTTTGCTGACCATCGTAACAGCAAGGAAAGCCAGGTGCGACCCCTTACCAACACAGAATACAGAAGCTGCGAGTATACACCGGCTAGTGCTTGAGTACTGGTGCAATTTGATCAACATCTGACCATGCCCAGTATTTTCGTGCTTAGAATGACGGAGACGTGATTTTATCTTGCTCTTCTAAGCAAACACAGTATGAAACCTCCGCAGGGGTAATTCGGCGGTGTTGTCGGCCATCACAATTCGGTGGACTACGCCATCGAACTCTCCACTGACGGTATCATTCATTCAGCTTGGAAGTGTCCCCGACCGGATAATCTACCAGCGTCACCTCTCTCACCTCGTGAATCCTTCCTCACCTCGGCCGACATTCATTATTGGCTTTGCGTTCACAGCTTATTGTACACTCATAGGCCAACTCTTCACATACCGGCTTACATCTAAAGTTCATCTGAAGGAACGATTCATCCATCTCTCAGTATGACAGAATAGTGACTCGTGGCTACTAGCATCAGTAAGATTCGTGCTTGGAATTCGAGCTCGTCGCTCATGACATCCGCGTGTGACGTCGATGTCACCCGAGAAAGACCATGGACTATTTCGTCAGTGTTCAGACTACAGGTAAACAACTCACCTCGTCTAGTTTGAAGGGCAATTTACTCTTGACTTCACCTACGATCCGGCGAACGAGAACCTCAAATCGCCATCCGGAACGAAGCAGTCTCGCCAAACCCACGAGACCTTTCACCAACACCAGAGTCGGCCACCCCAGATCAACATTCACAACCCTTTGCAGCACCCAGCTACGCATTTGGAAAATTCCGCTTCCCAAGACCAAAATCCACAGCACTACAAACGCCGCCACTCATCACTGCCAGACTCGCACAAGCCGCCCTAGGAGACCCGCTGAAGCCAGTGGACCAGCCCAACCGACCTTAGCCAGCCTACCACCAACCCGTCTTAATCCACTCTTCCGCCTCGGTCGTCAACACAAAACAAGCTGGGTTCAGTCGCCCGGCTAGCTCAATCGGTAGAGCGTGAGACTCTTAATCTCAAGGTTGTGGGTTCGACCCCCACGTCGGGCTCAATTCCCGTCAGCGATTGGCACTCAGTTTCATTTTTTGCAAGTTTCGCTTCCATTTTTGCCGTTTGTTTGGCTCATATTATGCGCACATGCTCTGCATATCGCCAGATTGATCGGGCGTCTTCACATATAGCTCGCGTGCCTCTTTTCCGCTTGAAGATGTGCGTGGTAAATTAGGGCTGGCTGGGTAAGGTGAATGGCACCTGGTTGAAGAATGAGCTTATTCGGTGGGTCTCACTTTGTCTGCGATTGTCTGACCGTCACATTGATTCAGCGTTCATCTCTCTGAGGACTGGGCTAGATAAGTATGTCCTGGGGATGGGGGATACAGAAGCGCATCGACTTAGGATTGAATTGAAACGGAACAAAAAGCGTTCTATGTATAGTGCACTGGATGATGTCCGCTTACCAAGTTGCCCGCAACTTGGAACAACCAGCTCTCGTCGACCTGTGTATGTATACTACTTCAGTGTCAATGATGACATGGATTGATGGTGCAGACGTTCCATCGGCAATGGGAGGGTACGGCGGAACCATGGAGCGTTATGTTCATCCTCCACATCGCCTCGGACTCTCATTACATGTAGTCCAACGAAGGACCAAATCTTCTGCTTCCGCTACCGTCTTCGTCGTCGGCGCAGTCTGCTACCGTTGTCTAGTGTAGTTGTCTGCCGTCGCCTGGCATTGTCGTCGTCTGTGAAGGTCATCTCTCAGTCCCAAGCGTGTTTAATCACGCTGGACTTTGGATCATGTAAACACAGGCAACAGGGCGATGTCTCGAGCGTTACGGACTATTGACCATAGACCATGACCAGAAGTGTTCAGACTGGTTCTTCTTACATCGAGAATTCGATGCCAGAATCTTCCTGGAAGTTGCCAATCAATGGACGAAAGGCATTCCGCCAACCAGAAAGGCCTATTTCGAACCAGCCCAGCGGAGATCTTCAAGCCCATCCACTCAACCGCTGACAGGCTCTTGGGAATCTTTGTTTTGGGTGCTTTCATGGTCTTCGCATGTTGATGGCATCAATATATTCCCAATGTTCCTATGGGAAGAGATAAAGTTTGGACGTTCGCGGAGTTCACACACCATGACAAATGGCAGGGGGATCACGCAAAGCTCAGCTTGATTGGATCCATGGCTCAATCAGCGCGTGAACTCTTCCCTCCTCTTCACTTGAATCGGAAGTCCAAACCATGCATGAACAAGTGCCTTGAAATTGTTGAGAAACAACTTGAAGCAAAAATCGACAAAGTCGGTCTCGGAGCTTCATCTGAAATGTTTCTATTTGTGTCTGTTTGGGTATCTCACACCAGAACAAACACTCGAGAAGGTACAGGCCTCCAGTACGAATCATCGAGAGGAATGAACCATACGCCGATGTACGGCACAAAACGCTGCTGCGCGTGAGTATGGTAGTTGGCAGAGAACCGCTTTAAGTTGCTCGTCGTCAACAGAGACTAAAGAGAGAGTCTTGCCCATCAACATATCCGGACCTAAACACTACCACGTCGATTGGAGTTGGCTGGACAGATCATTGAGCAGTGGTCGATATCACACCAAGGCGTTTGTGCGGGTCAGCATTTTGTGATTCGTGGCGGCCAGGAACCCAGTTCATTGCGACCTGGACGTCTTAATAGTATGCTGCCATCTGCTGGGCTCCGTCAATGACTGAAAACCCCAACATCCTTCTTCCTCAAGCAAGTCATGGACCGCATAGGCATCTCTCTTTGCAAGGGGCCAGAGTTCGACCGGATGTCTCGCAAGCCCTCACCTCCGGTAGCATTCGGGTTCCATCAAGGCCAGAGTACAAATAGAGAGAACTCTCAAACCAATGACTTTACCCCTTAATCAAGCGTTCACTCGCAACTGAGTCAATACTCAATCACCCCATATCACGCCGCCTACACGGAACGGAACACTCCTCCCTCTCATCCTCGAAATTGGCATGCCGCCAAACGCGCGTCTACCTCACTCCCACCGTCCGCGCCAAACACCGTTTTCACACACCTGCTTGGCATCCCCAATGAGGCAAACCGACCTGGCAACCAGGCAGATCTCCAACCATGCGACCGCCGTACCGCGCTCGCGGCACCCGGCAGGGTTCAACCCTCGATGTCGACCACCCGCCTCATCAACGGCCCTGTCAACCTGCAGCAGCAGCAAGATGCATCATCCCATCACGCCGTGGGGTCACAGACAATGTCACCGACGTACCGCGACCATCCCCGCGGGCGGGACGGGCGGTCGTCGTGTTCGTTGCTCTTCCCACGGACGTGGACTCCCGAGATGAGCACAGGTGCCGTTCCGAAAGTATAATTCATTGCATTGCGTACGTAGTAGCCACCCAATTCCAATGGAAGATTGGATGGAACCAATATTGGGAAAAACCAAGCTTCGTTGCTCAGATCGCCAAGGATCTTGCACACCAAGAAAATACACACATCAAGAGAAGGGTTAAAGAAGAGGGAGATTTCGAAACGGTGCCGAGATCCGAACGGAATCGCCGGTATGGGCGATGCTATCGCGCATTTCCAACCTGGGGGGAGAAGTAACGCTTCGAAACAGAGGCCGCCCGGATAAATTGGAAAGAATAACAGCGACGAATGCACGCAAAAGGCGGCCCAGGTTTCAAAAGCACCATGATCCCGGGCTCGTTGGACTCGAACAGAGTTTCCCGAGCGATGTGTCTCCAGCAGAAAAAACGGAGGTGCAATCTACTAGCCGAGTCATGAACGGTTCGCGTCAGGTTTCGAAGGCGAGGCGAAGCTTGGCGGTCGCGAGGGACACTCCTGGCCTCCTGGAGTCTGAGAGAGAGATTTTTGATTGTTGATTTGTTGGATCTACGGATCCTCCTCAGGGCGGGGAAAGAGGGTACGGATACCATTAAAAAAGAGGAAGGGGCAGACGGATAGACTCCGTGTACTCGGGCACTTGACCGAGTCCGTCTGGGCCGGGGCAGCCGCCGGTCGAGTGGCTGGACGACAGCGTTGTTGCGATCGGCGGTTGTGGTAATTTCGAATGAGTAGGAAAGACTGCAGGAGCAGCTGCAGAGACAGAGACAAGAACCAAAAAAATACGAGAGAGGAAACAAAGCGTTGTCAATGGAGATTTTCAGAGTCATTGAGGGAGGAAAATGCACGTTACCGCGTTGTTGCAGACTTCGATGTCTTTGGTGGTGGTACCTCCTGGTGTGTCAACACATGGAAGGTCGTCTGATTCTAGTGGCCGAGGACCCTGCGACCGGCCGAAACTGCCCTGGGCCAATTGTGTGTTCAGATGCCACCAGTTCACGTCAGACAGGATGTCGGTCGTTGCATGACAGCTGCAAGGTTATCTGATCTGCAAGGGCGGGATCGCACCTCCACGAAAGGGATCGGCAGTGTCACTGGGCTGAAAGAAAGATGGTGGTGAAAAATGATTTTTCGTGTTTTCTAATAAGACCAAGTTCGTTCTTCTCTCACATTATCAACTAGAAAGGTATCAACCCATCCCTCGTGAATCGCAATTCGTCCACGCGGGAAACTGGTATCGAATAAAACACAATAGAAACGCCATGTGCGGAGCCCGTTTTTCCTCCAAGCTGGACCAGCGCAATAATTCCCTGGGCCGAGATAGCCTTAGAAGCCGAGTCCCCGTCTTTTTATCCTGTCATGACCTATATGCACGTTGAAACCAAACCCATACCCATGCGATTTAACAGATATGAAAGATCCGAGAAATGCTTAGAGGAGGGCAGCAACGGCAAGACCACCGAGGACGGCGAAGACACCGGCGGTAGCCTGGGCACCTCCGGCGACGCCAGTGACGGTGGCCAGAGTGGTGGAGGGGGTCTTGGTGGCAGTGGAGGTGCCGTTGCCAGCGGGCTTGGTGACGCTGGTGACGACGGTAGCGGGAGCAGAGTTGACCGGGGTGGGGACAGCGGTGGTGGACAGAGCGGTGCTGGTGTTGGCAATGACAACAGGGGCGGAGGAAGAGGCGGAGGCCGCAGCAGAGACAGAGGCAGAGGCCGAGGGGGTCGCAGAGACGGAGGCGGCGGACAGGGTGACGGTCGCGGTGCCAGCGCTGGAGACCAGGGTGGTGGTGCCGGAGCTGGAGTCGCTAGCGGTGATGTGGAAGGGGTTGGAGTACTGGAAGTCGGCGGCGTTGGACTCGGACTTGATGACGAGGCCGTAGAAGGCGTCCTTGCCGAGAGTGCTGGGGATGGTCCAGGAGTACTTGCCGGCGGAGTTGGCGACACCGGCTGGAGTGATGTTAGTCGATTGTTTTTTTTAATTGTTTTTTTTTTCAAACTTCCTCGGAGGGAAGGAGGGATGGAGGTACTCACAGGCAATGTCGAGGAGAGGAACCTGGGTGTTCTGGGTAGCACCACCGATCAGGCTGATGGAGACGGTAACGTCCTTGAAGGCATCGGGGGCAGTCCACTCGATGGTGTAGGTAGAGCCGGCAGCGATCTTCTCCTGGGAGAGAGGCTTGGTGACGGGGTCGAAGTTGGGGTTCTGGGCCAGGACGTTGGCGGCGAAGGCCAGGAAGGCAGCGGCGGAGATGGTGAAACGCATGTTGACTGATTTGGTGATTTTTGAGGTTGTTGAGGAAGGTGATTAGAAGTTAGGTCTATATAAGAAGACGGTAACGAGTCGAACGAGTGACTAGAAGAAAGCGAGTAAGGTTTTAAGGGAGAGTAAGTGTCTTGCGACGGTGGGTAATGAGTGACTGTATATAAAAAGAGCGGCAGGCTGAAGCCAGAGGACGAGACGCACACGGGGGTTGTGAGTTTGACTGGGCTGTGGTAGGGAAGGAAGGAGGAAAGAGAAGAAGATCAGACGAAGCGGAGGGATTGAAAAGAAGAGGAGGTGTAGCCTGGCGAGGTGGTGCTGGTAAGGTACCGTAAGCGCATGGAGTGGAGTGGGAGTGGGAGTGGGAGGTGAGGTGGGTGGTGCCCTCCCCCGGGCTAGGCTCCCAGGCTGCTGCTGCTAGGCTCACGGGGCCGGGCGCGCGGCAAGGGGGTGAGGTGGTGCAAGGTCCCAGAACTTGGTGGTCCATCCATGGTCCCAGGTGCGCTTGATCCATCCATCATCACCCATGGGCATGGGCATTGGGCAATGGGATCATGGTTCTGGGTGAGAAGTGAGAAGGAGAAGGGGGGTGGCCTCGAGGCATCCCTGGCCCAATTAGGCTAGGCCGGGATTGACAAGAAATCACAGTGTTCTGGCTTGGTAGTTGGTGCTTGTGAAAACTCGGGAAGGGAGCAAGGGCTGGAGGTGAGCAACTACCAACACAACCCTACAGCGAGGCCGCGGTGCATCACACATCACTTGGTTCTGGTCTTTCACCACCACAGTTGGGCGCAATGCTCCTGTCGAGGTCTGCATGCCTCGTTGCAGTTGTTGACTGCGCCGCCGACAGAGCAAGCATGGGTCTGCAAATTAAAGACGAGATTGGGCTAGTGTGATTGGGCCGTTGCGGCACGGAGCAGGGGGTGTGGGGTCGTGGGAAATTTCCCTGGCGCAGGTACCTCGCGCGTCTGCAAGCCTTAGCCTGTTACCTTACCTGCAAAGTACCCTAACGAGGGCAGCAAGTGAGCACTATGTGAAGCGCGCGTGGAGCCCGCCGTTCTGGGCCAGCACAACTCGCTCGTGGAGGACGGGAGTGTCTCTTGCCCTGAATGGCAAAGTTGCTCTTGACAGGTTGGTGCAGGTGCAAGTGCAGCCCAGGTGCAGCAACACCACCCTAACCGAACAGGGCTGAGCCAACGCGCTTTCCGCTTCCCACCCTGAGGACCGTCGCGCCAGCCAATCACAACATCAGCGCGAATTCAGCATGCATCCCCTTCTTTCCCGATTCAGGGGTGTGTCCTTCAGGTGTACTTCGTAGTCCGTCTTCTCCTCCGCCTGTCGCTCTCGCTCCTCACTCCTCCCCTCCCCTCCAGTCCGCCAGTCCACTGTCGGTCCCGTCATCCATGGCGGCATCCAGTCTCCTCCGAAGCAAAAACCCACTGCCCAGCGGGTCACGATCTCCTTTTTCCCTCCGAGCTGGCGCGATGCCCCCAGGCAACAGCACGGCACTGTGACTGCGGACTATTATCCATGGGTTCCATTGGTTTGCGACGTTGCGCCGCTGCATTCATCTCTCGATGCCCCTCCTGCGATCCTCTCGCGAGGCCTCAAATGGCTTGGTCGTTTGCTCTAGCACCCGGGTAAGGACGGAAACCCGCCCATCGGATCCGTAGCCCTGCCAGCAAACGACCAACCTTGGCAATGCCGCAATGGCAACTCGAAAGTGACTGCGAGGCCAAAATAAGGCCCAGCCCAGGCCGCCATCGAGAGCCAAGTTTCGTGGATGGCGTGCTTGCCAGGTGCACACGCAGGCACAGGCACACAGGCACTGAGCTGAGCCCGAGTGCTTTGGAGAGACACCACGCATATCCGTACCGCGAATTTCAAAGGGAAAATAACATCGCCCAGACGTACATGGTCTCCGTTCCCCGTACTTTGGTAACCGAAAGTCCCAAGGGGGGAGCACTGACATTTGCGGCCCACGAGCCGTGGACGGTGGACATGGATGGACGTGGACGGTGAACGGGACAAACAATGTCGACTAGACGGACTTCGGCCAGCAATTCCCTCTTCCATGCTCACTTGTCATCCTTCAGACCTCCACTGGCATCTCTCTTTTGCCCCTGCCGGGAATTTCCCCGATCCCTCATGGACACAGCAGCTGCCAGCATGAAATGGGCGGCTGCTGTTTGGTGTCTTGCCCTCGGATGAGTCCACACGGGGTCGAGATGATGTGACGTCTGTTATGTCCCATTGAGCATCGAGCGTTTAAGCTAAGTAATTACCTTAACGTGGATCTGGAAATAGACGTCGCTAATTTGCTGCAAAATCCAAGGCAAATGGAGACGGTCGCGCGGTACAAGTGTACGTACCTGCTGGCACGCACCACACTGCGCTTTTAGCGATTCGACCACTGCAAGGAACAGGCAAACCGTTCATGGGACCGCTAACTTGGCACCAGCCGCAGCCGCTAATGCCATGGTCCAGTTCTCTCCGTTCTCGCCCATCTTTTCCAACCATTCACCGCACTGTCAGACGGACTAACACCGGCCATGCGTCAAAGCGACTCACTTAATTTACTACGCCGCAGCCCAAGTCCTGCTGCCCTCTACGCAGCGAGCGCCCTCAATGGGCAGCCTTTCGATTGCTGTCGGGCTGGCAGCCAGGCGGCCGCTGAACACCGGAAGCTAAACCATCAGCAGGGGACGCCGATTCGACATGCAAATGCAGAAAAGGATCTTTTGTCTTCGGCCCTTCGAGAACCCCTCTGTCAACCATAATACACGGCACTAGTTGTCAAGCGAAGGCAGATGTGACATTGACCGGTCATTAATTCATCAAATATGAAAGGTTTTTTTTCTCCGGCCTGGCACTCTCATGGGCCATGATACCCCATCATCACCTCATCGTCGACCCTCATGTAACAACCCCGATTACTACTACCATATGAAATTCGGATTTCCACACCAGCTGCGTTCTCAGGGCTTGCAGCCTGTCGCTGGCACTTGTCTTGCTCCCCTGCTTGCGCCACCCCGAAATATCCTTCAGTCAATGACTCTACCATCCATGTCCACCATGCGGGAGGTCATCGTGGGCCTCGAGACACTCTGGGGGCCGCCAGCTTTACGCCCCAGCAAGCCCCAATACCCGCCTCTCCAGGCGCACACTTCGCATCATGCAGGGCCTCGGGCAGAAGCCGCACTCGGCCAAGTTCAACATCGGCAATCTTCGCCCTCGCTTCCTTCATCGCCCATTCATCTGATATCTCAACTACGGACATCAGCCATCGCCATGACGTGCTCTTCCGCCTCTTGACGCAGCCCTTGATCCGATTAATCGCAGTGGCTTCTGTGCCTCCACCGCCACACACCCTACTCGTCCGCCTTCTCGGGTCATCCGTCGTCAAGGTCCCCTTTGCCAGTGTTCCCTGTCAGAGTTTCAACACCAAACTCTATTGCCCACAATCCACGACCCGAGAAAGCGAATCTCGCGGTTCTTTGATGAAAACGACTCGCAAGTCGTGGGTCCCCGCGTATGAAGGCATTAACGACGGGGTAAGCTGAAGTCAAAAGCCCCTTGATCGCCCGGAAGACGTCATGAGCCAATAACGGCTTTAGCGCAAAACCAAACGCATGGCGACAAGAATAGCTTCGGTCATGGTGGGCATCAGCAGAGACTGCTGAGCATTCGCAAGAAACCCCAACCCCGACATGCCGTTTTGTTCGGGCCTTCCCTTCCATGCTTGCCAAAGGTTGGCGGGTTGGTTCTCTCTATGTGACTCTTACAACGCAGTCAGCGTCGCCTTTATCCGTATACGGCCAAGCTAGACAACTTCTCCCGGCATTCTGCGGTCAAGCGGCACAGCAATGCATCTACACCGCGAGATCTTGTGTCACGAGGCCAGAGTTGACATCGCTCCCCAACCTTTTCTGCGAATGCGCCAGCCTACCTTCGCTGGGAAAACCTTGGTAGTCGCTTACGGTGCCACGATGCCAATATTGCGCAACGTTGCGACAAGGTCATACGTGTGTAGGTGCCGCCTCGCGCATTACACCAACGAATCCGGCAATCATGTCAGCAGCTGCTGCAGCCCGCATCACCCATCGCATGCACAAGAAGCAAATATTGAAAATGCGACCCAGCCCTAAGCCACTTTCCGGCACCCGAAAGAAGCAAACGGGCTAGGATGGGATGCGCTGTCGCCAGCACGGTACTTTTAAGCCTATTTTCCTGGTTGTCGTCCGAACCATCACGTCCCATCACGTCCCTCTTCATGGGATATTTTTTCACTCACATCGCGAGAGTCTAGAGTCTAAGGTGATCTTGGTTTTTCTCGGTCTTATTATGCGTCGCATTCTTGACGAGAAACGTTTCGTGGCGGCTAACAAGGGAAAGTCCAGGCTAAGCGTCCCGCCCCGTTGGACCTTGGAATGACCGCGCGGTACTTCATCTTCCCTAGCGCGAAGCCATGTATTTTTGTTTTACCGCTCGATTAAGCTGGTGCTCACCTCTTCGCCGCCATCAGAGGAAATGAAACCCTTGGCCCAGGGCTGAGAGAGATGGCGCGCCGCCTACTCCCGAACCGCTCCGTACGCCGGCGGAGGTCGATCCCCCCGGAAGACAATCCCGGTCTGCGGCGCGGAGCGGAGGTGACTTTCATGTTCTCCACTGGACCGATCGGAGAGGCAGATCGCTCCTTCGGACCCTCCTTTGGAGAACACCCAAAGAGATTTCTCCAAAACTACAAAAGGAGCTTGAACGTCGCAACAAGTGTTGTGGCGCGAGGCTGTGAAACACCGCGAGCCAGTCGCATACCGAGAAGCTTCGCCATCGATGCGGAGTAAAGCGTCCACGTGACCCGCCCCAACATCGACGGATGTGGTCGAATCGCCTCGAAACCCCGTAGAACCTGCTAGACATGGTGAGAATTGAATATCGCAAAGTGCAGCTGCGCCCGAGTATCGTGATAGCCTCCTTTCGTGTCAAGATATAGCCACTCAACC